CCCCCCCCCCCCACTCACGATGATACAGGAGATCATCATGTTTTGCGAAGACGCACTAGAAATCGTAAATTCATTTTCTCTTGGTTCTTTGTGTACCATGTGCCATTTTGACACATGGTAGCTTGAAAACGAAATGTACCCTGTTTGTTTGCCAAGTTCACAATACCAGGGGTTTTTCCCCCTTTTGATTTTGTTTTCACGCTTCCAAAGGTCGAGAAACAATATTGAACCTTCTTGTCATCACAGAGTAGTTTTAAATACAGGTCTATCACGTTATGACTGCACTATCGTAACGTGAAATCGAAAGGTGTTTCTACAGTCATCACCGCAGGTCACATTTTTCTTAGTAATAAGTGTGCGACTTGAATTAATTATTTCTACACAATAGCATTCACCCGACATTTAATTCACTTTCTTTCCTATTTCCAAACGACTCTTGGACAAGCATTATCCACTTCGTATTCTTACTACTGTTATGTATATCGCTATCTCGATCCGAGTCGCTCCTTTTGCTCAGTTTTCTCCATTTGTTTTTATGCCGTGTCATGTATTAGCAATTAATATGCTCAATATTGTAAACTATACCGATTATGGTACAACTAAAAATGGTTTCCGGGAAAACTGAAACAAAGAATTCTTTACTGCTTGCATAACAAAGGAGATCGATCAAAACATAGCTGTTTTATTCCTGGAAGACGCGCTTTAAATAGGACGTGATTTTTCCTGATTGGGCGAAACTTGGGTGGCTAGAAAAGGGAAAAGTCCCTACGCCCAAAGGGGTTTTTCCCGTTTTCAATTTGTTTGTCGAGCTTGCCTTCACAGTATTTTATACACGCGTGCTACATCCCCTTAACACGTGATCAACCTGTCTATAGGTCTCAATCACGCAGTCCCTCTAGTCCTTTGTCGTAGGAGCTGCTGTTGTTATACTTCTCCGCTGTTTAAAGGTTCATTCGGCGGTTTCATAATTCACACCAGAAGTTGCTCAATTCACACCTGAATTTGAAAAGCACACAACACCAATCTGAGATGATTCCTCAAGGCATCACGCACTTCCGCTTTCGTTCAAGCGTTGTTTTGATCTTGGTTTTCTTGCTAACGTCTCCAACACAAGTATCCAGTGAGGCAAAAAGCTGCGCTGCTGTAACGCTGGCCTGGAATGGCTTCGAGGCAAAACTTCCCCTGGGTAAGGACCCACAGTTTGTGCGCAACCTTGCCGACTGTTTGAATGAAGTCAAGAAACCAGACAGTGAAATTCGAGGCATCATACAACAGTTACCGGAGGTGATAGATAAAGTACTCCCTGTTGCACGGACAGACGGATTGGTTCTGCTTTCGATGTATTTCTTTTACAAGAGCTACTTATTGTACGACGAGGCAAAGATCTTGGAGGTAAAC